ACGTTCTTCCTGGAAGGACCGTCTCTTGTCTGTCTGTCTGTCTGTCTGTCTGTCTGTCTGTCTGTCTGTCTGTCTGTCTCTGTCTCTGTCTCTCCACTCCCTAGATAGTTACTTATACTCTTTGCATTATATGTATTCCGTCAGCACTTATTGAACCCTGCTATGAGTGAAGTCTCATATTTGTCACTGTATATGTAGCGATTAAGAAGACACAACTCTGTTCTACCTTTAGTGTATCAGGAGAACAGATATCCAACTGTGTATTCGTAAAATATTTAAAATGCAACTTTTGTCTGCATGTAAGGCTGGCTTTGAGAAACAACTTCACCACTTCACTCCATATTTACTTCACGGAACTCAGAGATTGAACTAAAGATAAGAGTCTGAGCCAAGCAATTGCATTCAGAGTTTTTTGTAAAATCTGATATAAGAACAACAGAAGAATGAAGTATATTTTTTAAGAATTTGGGTCAACTAAGGCCTTCTATATGGAGGAAACTAGTCTGCGGTTTAGAATGTAAGTCTGCCTGGCAAAAGCAAGGGCCTGAGTTCAATCCCCAGTTCTGTGAAGAAAAAAAAAAAAAAGAAAAAAGAAAAAAAATAAATTAAAAAAAAAATAGAATATGAGTTCAGCCTAGACAACTAAGGCTGAATGAAGTCAGTAATGTTTCCCTGAAAGGGATAAACAGCATTCTTTGAATAGAGTCTGAGACTTCCAGAATGCTATGTACAAGCTACCTGCATCCTCCAAATACTAGGTGGCACTCTTATGAATTCAAATGCTGTATTACTTCACTTTAATCACTAACTGAAATAAATAACTTGACCAGTGAATTATTTGAAAGTTTTATTTCATCAGAAATAGTATAAATGGAAATTTTATACATCACACATAGAATTATTTATTAAGCATGTGAGTGTATTCCATGTGTGGTATATCAAACTTCTATTTATCAAATTTGCATTGTTATGAGTTTCAGTGGACTGAAAACTTCTCTGCAATCTAATGTATGGCAAAGTTTCATTTTTTTTTTTTTCTGGAACCGGGGATTGAACTCAGGTCCTTGTGCTTGCCAGGAAGTGCTTAGTCCACTGAGCCATCTCCCCGGCCCCCAAAGTTTCATTTTTGGCATGAGGTGTATTATCTCCTGCATTTCATTTTCTTAAAACTCAGCATACTCCAAATTATTTTCCCTGGACAGAATGAACTCCTCAAAAGTAGAGCCGAGTCCCTCTTGCGTTTTCTGGCTCCTTCTGTCTGGCCTGGCCCCCGACACACTCGGAGGCATTCAGCATATCTGCTAGACAGAACACTCTTCAAGGTGGGAACACTGCATCCCGTGTGAAGTCCGGGAACTTTCTGTATTCAGGGTGGGTGTCAGAAGGCCAGGACGACGCAGGGAAAGAAAGAACTGTCTGTTGTGGCGTGGAGGACAGGTGGATGTTCTGCTGCGCTGACGTGGAAACGCTCTCACTCTTGCCCGCATCCACAGAACGTACTGTAGGTCCAGCTCAGAGGGACGCATAGGAAAGGCTGTGGTCAAGGAACAAAAATATACAGGTGCTGTCACCACATAGTGTTCGGTATCACAAAGGCTACCACTTTATTAATTTCTTTTCCTGCCCTTTGTGGCTCTCACAGGTTTTGTCTTTTGTGTGTGTGTGTGTGTGTGTGTGTGTGTGTGTGTTTAGAGAAAGGTCTACAGGGTGTTCAGGGTCTCATTGCTCGTAGTAATCCGTCTCTTTACAGCCTCCCAAGAGCTGGGATTACAGGCACGTACCACCATAGCCAGTCTCAATTGCTGTCTCAGCACGCTCCGCGGGCAGGGCTGCCAAGGCAGACCCGGGTTTCAGACCCCTGTGCCTGTGCCTGCTTGGAGGCACTTTAATCCGCTGAGCTATTTGGCCAGCCCTCTCACATTGTCTTTTTAAGCTATCATAATATAGTATGATATTATTGCCAGATATCTAGGCCTTTGTAAAATATCAGTGATACAAGTTACCTAGAACAGTGCATATTAAATTTTACTTAAGTCACATTTGCAAAGTAGTATAAGCATGTATATTTACCATTGCAAATTTACGAAGCTCTAAGTAACCCATAGGTGTTTATTATTTTTTGAATACACATATTTGAAAAATAAATATACAGAGAATGAACACTAATCCTTCTTACCTATTTTCAACTCAGAATTAACCTTAATATTCTCACTCCTTCCCAACACACCCTCCTATTTTTGTGGTAATGTACACTTCAAATAGTTTATCAAAATATTGTATGCATTTTGCATGATAGCATTTCTAAAAAATGTGACCCCAGTATTGTATCACTGTTTTTAAAATTTTACTTCAGTTAATTAGAACTAGCCAAGTTAAGTGTTTACTTGGAGTGGTGAGTACTGACTTCACCTGTTTTCATCCAAAAGATGCCATCTGAAATTGATAATTCGTTTCATATTTTAAATTTTTCTTTTAAATCAGTTAGACACGACTTCTAAGGTCTCATTAATAGTGTTAATTTGCTTAGGATACTCATATCACTTATTAGTGGAAAAATATGTTTCTTATTTTTTGTAGAGAATCCACATTAGCAGTGTCAGCTAACCATGACTTTCTCAGTGATTTATGCTTTGTAAGCTAAGCTGTGCTTAAAATGGCTAATTCACGTTTCACAGCAGTCCTCTAACTGCTCAAAAGTATATTCGTCCTAGCTTTGAAGAAGAGGCGCTAAGGCTCAGAGAGGCGAAGCGGGCGTTGTAAGGCCCTCCGTCAGTTTCCCAAATAGAAACTCTGTCTCTGGCCCTGGGTCTTATCACTGCATCGCACTCTGTCCCTGTGGAACCTTCTACGATGGCCTCCGTGCAGAGATCCGCACTTTACGTGCTCACGTTCTCAGACTTCTAAGAAATGGAGAAAGAGAAACACAAGATTGTGTTCTCCTTCCGGCCCTGAGCAGGCTGACGTTGCTCAAGGCGACCTCCTTCTCCTCATCAGGCCCGCACCTAGGGCACGGCTTACAGTGCGGGGCTAACGATGGCATTGGAATCAGAAGATGAAACTTGATAAGCAACCTTCTTCTCCAGAGAAAAATGATCTCTTCCCTGAGAGAGACTTTTCTTCCAACATAAAATTGGCTTCTGTCAGTTTGGCCAAAGTTGTGTAATTAATGATCCATGGTACTGTATATACAATTTACTAAAATAAATAACATGCTTCTAAAAATTTATAATTTGTCCTACTATTCCTTTTCTTTTTCTTGCTGCCACACTAGTAAGGCTCATTCCAGACTGTTTTCATTATTTTTGTTTTTAATGACTATTTTATGTTCTATTACAATAGATGGATGAAAGACTTGATTCATACTATATAGAGAGAATTGACTAACACTCACAAATAAGGCAAGTTGAGAGTTGAGAGTGGTGCTGGATGCCTGTAATTCCAATACTTGGGAGGGTGGCAGAAGCAGGAGGATCTTTGCAAGTTAGAGACCCACCTGGGCTACAAAGTGAGCTCAAAGGCAGCCTGGATTGCATAGCAAGACCCT